ATAACAAAATCAATTGACAATTAAAAGGTAGTAAATAAAGGTTACTAACAAATACATTTTGACAAGTAACTAAGGTTTTTAAGAAAATACAAGCTCCATCAACATAATTAAAAAAAATAAAATTTGTGACATGAGTTTCCAACTTATGCTCTAAACTTGTAATTATAACATATTATAATAAATTCTTTTATTTATTTGCTTCTATACGTTATACAACTTATTTTAGTGTTAAAAACACAATATGATTTTAATGGTTTCACTTTCTTACGAATAAATTTAATATGAATTTTAGTTATTTTTTTATTAATTTCAGAACTCTTTGTTACATTTAGTTACTAGATTAAAAAAAATTGTTTTTCAGCTCTTGCAGCCTTTCATCTTTTGTAGCCTTTTGAAGTTTTCAAGTATAGTATTTTCAAGTATAGTCTTAGGCCTCGTTTGATAGTTGCTGACCGAGAAAGTGCTATCTGAGAAAGGTCTGTCTGAGTAATAAATTCTGACTGAGTAAGAAACCATGTTGTTTGACTGTACATCTGACTGAATATGATGACCTATGCAAAATGACCATTTTACCCTTCTATTCTATACAACCATTTTAAATATTCGTTTTTATTAATTTACCATTATACCCTTATTATAATTTTAAGTTAATATTATATATATTCTTCAAAAACTTTCAAAATATGATAAAACACATGAAAGCATAGGTTGTATAATTAAATCCTATTAACGATTATATAATTAATTGTATAATTAAGTTAATAAATTTTAGTAAGCTAAAACCTGTAATTAATTATATAATTAAATCCTATTAACGATTTTACAAACACATGAAAGCATAGGTTGTACAAGAAACTTTTCCATGGATATAAAACGTATAAATTAAAATGAAAACCACTTCAGCAAAGCACAAAAATATGAAAATTTCATTGAGGCATTTTGACGAACACTTACAGTGCAACAATTCATATCAACCTTAAGGATGGGTATCTAAAAAAGGAACACTCCTGGTTCATTTTGTTTTGTTTCTTCAAGTGACAGACGATTAAAGTATCAATCAAAGGCTAGGAGAAACTTTTTTTAACAAGTAGGAAAAAAAAAGATGTAGGAAGAAAATCATAAGCTTTTTTTGCTTGATGGAGAAGACGAAGTCGAAGGAGAATCTGCGAATTTGATGGGAGTGTGATCGATTTAGAGGAAGAAAAATGGTGTGGCTTTTTGCAGAAAGCATACCTGATGAGAAGAGGCTGAAAGATGAGCGGTAGAACAAGGGCACAATTGGAAGAAGTTTTTCCCTTTTTCAGTCAGCTAATTCAAGATTTCTTACCGAGTCAAACGTTATTTTCCGAGTCAGACACCCAAAATTGGTTTACCAAACACTTTTAGCTGACCGAGTCAGCCAAAAATGTCTGACCCCGACTCGGTCATATGCAAATCAAACACAGCCTTATAGATATGTTCGATATCCCATTACAATATTATTTATTAGTAGTGAGAGAAAGAAAGATACAGAGAGGGGAGAAAGACAACGTACATCCTATGAGAGAGGAGACAAGAGAGAAAGTGGCAGCAGGCAGAGCTTCAAGATGAGGGGAGAAAGACAACGTACTCAGTAAACCGGTGACCGCCGGAGTGGAGAAAGGGCGTACAGAGAAGGAAATCGATCCGGCGACCAACAGAGAGGAGAGAAAGAAGATTTTGGTTTGAGAAATTCTTTCCGACGAACGGCGACCGACACATGGAGAAAAATTAGGAGATGAACTGCTCTACAACCGTGCTATTCTTCACGTAGGTTTGAGAAATTAGTTTTTGACGGTAGCATTGATTTTTTAGGGTTTACTGATTTCAAAAAC